CCCCGAAGACCCCCCAGGAGGGAGCCTCTCTTCCTGACCAGAGGGCATCTTCCGCCACTTGACCCTCTGCCATCTCCTGAACTGACGCATCTGAAGGTAGTTAAACTCACAGACCAGTCCTCCAGAGGCTCCAGTTCCCAAAGAATCCCAAAGACAACGCGAGTCTAGCCCACGCCCCTCCCTGCCACGCCCCTCTTCTGCCTTCTTAAGGAGTTCACACTCTTGCATTCTTTCAAAGTACCTAGGAGCAAACTTAAACTGGTCATAATTAGATTCTTGGGCATTTCGTAAGTTACTGGATCTAGCACTGAGAAAGAAGGCTCAAATTTAAAACTGTAATTACAATCAGAGAAAAAGTGTGAGTATGTCCTTGTATGACAGAACTAAACGTCACCCCAGTCCAAGCACCAGCAGCGGGAGCCACCAGGCCACACCTCCTGGGAAACACCGTGCATCCGCTGGGCCCACTGTGGCCAGATGAGCACCCCTGAAGTGCCCAGGGGACCCACAGGGCTGCCTCAGGCAGAGGTGCGTGTTCTCATGAAGCCTGACCCACGGGGGTGAGGCTCCACGCTCAGGCAGCAGAAATCCACCCTAAAACGTGTGTGAAGCAAACACGCATCCTTCTGGGCACGTCCCCGGGAGCTACCTGATCCCAAGCTGGCGCACATACAAACTGCAATCAGCTGCAGGATAAGAAAAGCCTTCCAGCACACACTGTGAACTGAGTCCACAGCACCACCACGCTGGCACACACCAAGGGATCTTTGGAAACAGAAACACAGAAATGCGAGGCTTTTACGTAAAACTGCTCGTCCTGAGAGCGGTATGTTCTTTGGAACAACAAAGCCCAGTGTCAGCTCCCTCTCCACGCCACTCCCACCCCGTGAGCTCTAAAGGACAAACCTCCCTGACCACGAGGGGGCCTCTGCCACTTTCCCAGCCATTTGCCACCTATGTGCTCCTCATGGGATGGCGTAGGTTGATGGTGGCCCTACAGCCGACAGGCTTCTGAGAGCCGAGTGGACGGGCTGGACACCCACACAGGACCCACAGTGCGGCTCTCTGTTTTTCCTGGCTGGCAATTAGGAACATTTGTTAGGTTTTGTCTATTTGCCATGTGAAATGAAAGATTTTGCTTGTTAATCAAGCAAAAAAATGTATGCCCTTCTGTAACTAATCATACCATTTAAAAAGCAAGTATAAAGCAGAATTGATTTTTTTCTGTACGCTACAATCACTTTTTGCTGAAGCATGCAGATGGCAGTCATTTATAAATATATGTTCCCTTTAGAGATTAAATTAACCCTGCCCCCTAGAAATGCTGGTTAAGTCCAATACAATCAGAAACCTGACTCTCGAGGCATCTGCTGCCAACCCGAGAAGACACTTGGCTCTAACCTCCCTCCGCCACACGCCGGGGTTACGCTCGGGATAAATTGCTTTTCCTTCTGGTTCTCACCTCACTTGACCAGGAGGTAAGGTGCTTGGGAGGGATGATCTCATTCAATAATGCCAGGATGTGCTGGAGCAGCTGCTGGCAAAGTTAAACAGAAACACTAGAAGTCTTTCTAATGAGAACTACGACTTCCGTAACAATCACGCTCGTCTCTTGCAAGACTTAGAAGGTGGCTCGAGGAGACCCACTGTCTGAAGTGACTGGAGCTGGAAACAGAGTCCATATCAGATCAGTGTATTGGCTGGGGCAGTCCTCACATTTCTTGAGAAGCTGGAGCAAAGGCTGGAAAATCAAATGCTGCACAGTCTTTGTGTATTGAGAATGAGTTTAAAAAAAAAAAAGCATCACATTTGGTACCTATTTCAAAACATTGCATCTGGGAGGGCTACAGTGTGCAGAAGAAAAAGGGGATTCCAGATATTCCAATGATAAAGACAAGAGGCAAACTCCTAGAGTCTGATCCCTACATGACGAGTCTCTGGGTAGAGCATCACAGAAGGATTTACCGGTACGTGGCAAACAAAGAGCCAACGTGAAACAGCACTATAACCCAGCACTGAACTGCCCCCACCACCTCCTCAAATCTTCAGTGCAGGGCTTCCCTGGTGGCGCAGTGGTTGAGAGTCCGCCTGCCGATGCAGGGGACGCGGGTTCGTGCCCCGGTCCGGGAGGATCCCACGTGCCGCAGAGCGGCTGGGCCCGTGAGCCATGGCCGCTGAGCCTGCGCGTCTGGAGCCTGTGCTCCGCAACGGGAGAGGCCCCAGCGGGGAGAGGCCCGCGTACCGCAAAAAAAAAAAAAAAAAAAAAAAAAAAAAAAAATCTTCAGTGGAATTAGGGACTTTGTCCCCAAAGTCAATGAAAACGCACTCTGGCTGCGCACATAGCAAGGCCAAGACAGAAACCCCAGAGGTTGGAGAGAGTCCTTGCCTTCACAGGACCCATCCCTCTGCATCGTAGAACTGAGAACACAGGACCCAAAATAAGAAATGGCCTTTTACAAGCTAAGGATCCCTGCCAAGGCCTCACTGAGGATCAGCATCCTTCGGGAAGAGGATGAATAAGCCGACGCCCCGAGGAGCAGAGGCTGAGATGTCTCAGGAAGCTGTGGTTGAATTTGGTTTCCTTTCATCTCAGAGGGATTATATTCATCTAACACAACCGGTCACCTAATCTGTTGCTTTCTTTGTATTTCGCTTGTTAAAATCTGTAGACTGTAACCACGGCTATTCTCCGAGGCAACCAACTCTCTCTCCCCGGAGAGGCCCCCAGAATCCTCCCAGCCTGCGCTGCAGCTGGCCCTCAGCTATGAAGTGCTGGCCCCAGGGCACCTGCAGCCTCGCTGTGGCCGCCCCTGTGATGTATCCTCCCCAGACCGTGTGCTCACCTCTGAGCACAGCCACCTGGCTCCCACGGCCTGTATGTCAGTCGCCATTCAAAGGGAGTCTGTGGGCCTGAATTCTGGGGAAGCCTAAGTTCTAACTGTCCCGAGGGACGCTTTAATAGTCATGAAGGATGCTGCGCCTTCTCCCCGGTGCTCAGGGTGCACGTGGACGGTCCCACACCCCATCTCGGGGTCTCATGTGCTCCCCTCTGCTCTCCTCAGGGGCTATCCTGGCAGGAGCACGGGCATCTGTGGGGAAGCCCTCAGGGTGCGGTGAGAGCACAGGGCTCATCCTCGGAGGTGGATGCTACCGATTCCCACGCCCACAGGAAGGAGGCCTTCCAGCTCTGGATGACTCAGGTTTAAGGAATGTGAAACATGGACAAACATGCTAATTGGACCAAGAGTTTCAATCCAAACAGAGCTCAACTTCTCCAGTTTTCTCAGTAATTCTGGCTATTTACCAGCAGATGGCATCAAAACCCACAGGTTGGCTTCTGGGGTCAAACTCCAATTGCAGACCACTCTGCGATACGTGCCACTGCCTGTTCTGGAGATGGAAGTCACCATGGCATCAGCTTACGAAGGCTTTGGGTACTGCCTCCTACCCAATTCAGTTCTGCATGGAGATGCAGACGACAGTAAAATCTGAAAATCTGGGTTTGCAAAAGCAAAGACTGATGATTAGGACCATGCAGAGCTGGGACGGCAGAAGGCAGCTCTTAGAAGTGAAAGCCAGCGGGCAAACAGACTCAAGGCATCAGCTCTCCTAGTTGAGTTGGTCACTTCCCGCTGCCTATAGCTGGTGTCGTGTAGAGACCTTGAACCCTGCCTGCTCGTCAGAACCAGCAGGTTTGCCAAGTAGATTCCCCAGCCCATGCTTGGAGACTGTGATTCAGAAGCAGAAATGTTCAGAAACTCATGGGTGACTCTAACGCACAGCCATGCAGGCCTGGGGACAGCTGCCATGCCAGACAGAGAACGCAGGGAAAGATGAGGCGCCTATAAGCCACGGGCTGGCACTGGCCTCGCTCCACACCACGGTGACCCACCTTGGACCACACGATTCCTGTTGGCTTGGGGCGCTCACACCCCGTGGTGATGACTCGAGTTGGAGTGAGAATATAGTCCACGGTGAGGTCGTGATCCTCAAGGAGTGTTTCAGGTATGTCGACAACCTGGTCAAACAGAAGCGGGTGAAGGAGCTGACAGGGATACGGCCCCAGCTGTGTTGGCTGCACCGCTGGGTGGAAGTATGATGTCCCCCAAACCCATCATGGGCAAGGCCGAGCGGCCGCACCAAGCGAATCCAGCCTGGCTGAGTGACGCCATGCCCGACACGGCACGGAGTGAAGGCAGAGACCCTGCTGGCCTGTTCCCAGGAAGCACCTGGCAGTCGTGGACGATGGTGACCACTGGCGTCCCCTGGCTGACCGCTCCCATCGACACCATCATGGCGTATTCAAGGTCGGCATAGCCTTCTCCCTTCCCAATTCTCCAGCCTGAGGACAACGCAGAGAATCAATGTCTCTGTGGGGTCCGGGGAGCCACGCAGGATTGCGTTTCTCGTCGTGGACTCAGAGGAGTTACAGAGCAAGAGCCACACTACGCGCTTAGCACACAGTGAGCTGAGCCTGGAGCCTTTGAAACACAGACCTCTCCTTTACCAAGGAAACTGCGCTTGCATTTATGTGAGCTTTACGTTTACAACTAGCGCAACAGTAGATTTTAAAAACACTAAGGACAGGGCTTCCCTGGTGGCGCAGTGCTTGAGAGTCCGCCTGCCGATGCAGGAGACGCGGGTTCGTGCCCCATTTCGGGAAGATCCCACATGCCGCGGAGCGGCTGGGCCCGTGAGCCATGGCCGCTGAGCCTGCGCGTCCGGAGCCTGTGCTCCGCAAATGGGAGAGGCCACAACAGTGAGAGGCCCACATAACGCAAGAAAAAAAAAAAAAAAAAAACACTAAGGACAAATTCCTACTAAGGGCAAATCTGTTTCATCATGGAGCGAAAGCAGGAAGTCTAAATCAGGGGCATGGCTGAGACAGCACAGCCTTGCCTTGTAAAAGCACTACGGACTCACCCAGCGCAGCCCCACAGCTGGGAAGGAGGCAGTTTAAGCAGCACTAGTGCTCTTTTGCAAATTCACAAATGCGGCACAAGAAAAGGATTCATCCTCTGAAGCTGAAGGACAAGCTAAGCAGGAGAAAAGAACGCAGGACAGTGGACAGGGGACGTTAGCACGCTGCTAGCTCCCCGCCGAGTCCAGTTACTCTGCTCCGTAGGACGCCCAAGCCAGCCGGGAGCTCTGACTTCTATGTAACGTCAGCATCAGCAGCAAGCGTGTGAGCGCCATCACTCACGCGTCCTGTAAGATTCAGACCTGACCGAGCTACTTTTACAATGAAAAGCCTTCAACCGTGCACACTAAGAAGCAAGAGGACGACAACTCGATAAAAGAACAGCAAAGGGTACGAGGAGTCCAGAGAGAGACAGGCGGACAGACAGTGAACACAGGAGAAACGTTCAAGCTCACCCAAATCAGATGCAAATGAAGAGGCAACTCAAATACCACTGTTCACTATCAGACGCAAAAACTGAGGTGGGATAATTCTAGTTACTAACAGAAGAGGGAGAGAGGCACGCAGATGGTGTGGGCATGTGACGTGGGCACACTTGCTGGTGGGTAATTTGGCAACATCCATCAGGATTTAAAAACCCTTTGGTCCGGCAATTCCTCTCCTAGGAATCACCCCACAGATGGTCCTCAAAGGTACCCCTAGAGCATACGATAAGACTACACCTCATTCTGGTGCTATTTGCAAGGGGAAGACCGAGACGAACACTGGAGATAACTTAAACGTATTATCAGTCAGGGCTGATGAACAGGAGGAGGCTGACCTCTGTGCTGACAGGCAGAGCCCTTGGAGACGCAGACGCAGCAGCGCACAGAGCACTGTCAGTGCGGAAGCAGAAGCAGGATGAACGTGCAGCCCACACACAGAACACTCGAGATGCCTGTATCTCACACCACAGGAGCTGATACTTCTGTGGGCATCAGGGGCCAGGCAGAGGGAAAGGGGCCAGGCAACGCTTTCTGTGCTCTCCACCTTTTTTAAACACATGCATGGTGATTCTGTTGTTTTAATTAGGGGGTTATCTAAACAGTGACAGTTACAAAACATTGTCTTCCTTTTCATACATCCTGAACTAAAAAAGAAAACTCCTGACGTCCTTTTAAAAGAAGAAATCTTTGCTAACTTCCCATTGCCAAAAGAGTACAGCCCAGTCCCCGGCATCTGGCCTCCGGTCTCTGGAAGCACAGCCCCAGACACTAGAGGGCCGTGCTACGTGACCACGGCACTCCCTCTCCCTGTCCTGCCCCGCCTGCCTCGAACACACCTGGCACGCAGGAGCCAACCCTGAGGCGTCTTCTGAGGTCACCCTGCTCCAAGCTGGCGAGTCCCTCCTCTGAGCCCGCCCACGTCCACCCCGGCTTCTGTTTCCAGCACTGAGCACGTCGTATTGTAGCTCAGCTCTCGTGTCTGCTCCGCCCACCCACCGAGGGCCCACAGCAGAGTCCACTCAGTGCCGGCCTGGCATGTGGCACACAGTGGGCACATGTGTGCTCACGTGTACCCGTCCCTGAGGATACAGGTAAAGCATCTGTAACTGTGAATACACGGAAAACAAGGAATAAAGACCTGTAACATCTCACTCCTAAGCATCTCACACAGTAGCTCAGAGCAGGAGCTGGGAATAGAGTAAGTTTAAGGTGATGGCACTAAAGGCCAACATTTAAAACACG